AAATTTTTTAAATCATTTAAAAATTTAATAATAATCACTGTAAAAGAAACTCAAATCCAACCTCTTAGAAGAGGTCTGCCTAGGTTTAATTAACCCTCAATTAATACAGACAAATAAGGAAGTAACAGTAAAATGCAGGTCACATTAATATTAAGTTAAAATTTATATTTTATGTTTTATAAAGTAAAATACCAGACATTAGCAAATGCATTAAACTGCCCCTTTTCAAGCTATAAAATAAAAGTAAACTGTAAAAAGTTACATTTGTCCCAAATAAAAACTTACAAACTGAACAGTGTTTTACTCATTTTTGCACTAAAGAGAATTTTATATACATATTCAGTATTTTAAGGCTAAAAACCTACTTCAGATTAGCTTCTGTTACAAATATATCAATTTAAATCTGTGACATGTGTAACATTAGGCAAAGCAGCCAATGTACGGTTCTTATCATAATTAGAAAAAAATTAAATACATAAAATTTTAAAACATTTTCACCATAAACATTTATCCTAACTTTAAAATTGCAAGCTTATTTCAAATCACATTGTTATGTGCTGTCAAGTTAATTATAACTCATAGCAACTCTGTAACAACAGACCTGGATCTTGCCCTACCCTACCTCATTCTCATGGTCTTGGATATATTCTAGCTATTGTTAATTGTCACTCTTATCAATCCATCATGTTGAGGGTCTTCCCCTCATTCTCTGACCCTTCACCTTTCCCATAAAGGTGTCTTTTTCCAACCACTATTCCACAGCACCTCCTGACAACATGCCTAGCGTATGTGAGATGAAGTTTCATCTGCCTTGCCTGTAAAGACATGCTTTCTCCGAAACAGACTTGTTTGTTCTTTGGCAGGCTGTGGGATATGCAGTACTTTAACTCCACAGCTCAAATGCAATAATTCTTGTTTGGGTTTCCTTATTTGACGACATCCAACTTTCAGATGGATAGGAAGCAACTGAAAATTCCAGGGCTTACATCAGGTACACTGCATTCTTAAAACTGACACTGTGGCTTTTTAAGCATCTTGAAGATGGTCCCTCACAGAAGATTTCTCCATCACATGTTTTGATTTCTAGACTGCTGCTACAATGGATGTGGACTGTGGAACCAAGGTTGTTGAAGAGTCTTCCTGCATCTTGACACCAAAGTCTTCCTCATTTTGTCCAGCTTCTTGAATTATTTGTTCAGTACACAGAATGATATAGAAGAACCCTGATGTATACCCTTCCTGGTTTTAAACCATGTAGTGTTGTCTTGTTCTGTTAAAATTGCTTTTTGTTTTGCCTGAGATTCCCATTCCTCTCAATGTTTTCCATAATTTATGTTCCACAAAGTTAAATGCCTTTGTATAGTCAATAAAACACAATTAAGTATCTTTCTGATACCTTCTGCTTTCACCCACGATCCTTATTACAACAATAATGATTACTCCTCTTGCCTTCCCTTTAGGTTTTCTAACTCCAGCCCTTTTGCACATTTCCTTAAAATACTCTTTTTTTTTTGTCTTGTCAAGCTGCCCTTTGAAATTTTCTGTTCCTATCTCTTATTTCTGTATTTCCTCTCTTTGTTCTGGCTCTCAACATTTTAGACCACGCTTCTCAATCTCCCAGCATCTATTTTTGTCTTTTCTTTTTCTCTTGTCTTTGCAGTGACCTTTTGCTTTCTTAATAGATGTGTCCATAGGGAACAGGAAATCATCTCAACCAACAAGCTTGGCTTGCTTTTTAAAACAAAAACTGAAAATAACTCAGAACCAATAAGAAAAGAATAGAAAATGGTTTTTCAGATTTATACTCTCTTGAGAACTGAGTAGTTATATAATAAAGAGTACACACAACTGCTTTTCTGTCTTTTAGCTTCATTTTGTCACAAATAATATGCAATAACTATCCTAGTAAAGACAATCAACAAAGTAATAAATTCTCTCAAAGTAATCAAGGGTGATTATAAAAATGGAAACCATGTTTACTATTCTATTAAGAAAGTTTCAGCGAACTCTTAATAAATTATATAAATAAATGAACTCGTATTTTACATTTGAAATAATTCACAATTTCATATACCTGAAATACCAGGACTTGAAGGATTTGATAAAGGTTTGGAACCTTCTGAAGAGGGTTCTATTCCTTTAGAAAGAGATCCATCCACAAGTATATCAGCTTCATCAATATCATCACAAGTTCCTCCAATTTGGAGAAAATGAAGCTCCCCACCTATAATGCAACAGAAGGACATCATTACAGATACATAAAAACTAGCAAAATATTCAAGTGTATACTATTAAGATATTTCTTTTAATTGCACACAATTTAAGAAAGTAGGCAGTTAAAGACACAGCCGAACGCTGTCAATTCCAACTGGAATTGGCAGGACTGAGTAAAAACTAGCTCCAAAAGGCTGTAAATCTTTACAGAAGCAGACTGCCCATCCTCCTGCAGGGGAATAGCTACTGCATTTAAACTGACAACCTCGACGTTCAGCAGCCAATCATGTTAATTAATATGTCACCAAGTCTCTTTAAAGAGAAATACCAAGTTATTTGGAATTACAACTGTCAAAAGAATTAGAAAATGAAAATAATTTTAAATGAGATAAATGACAAATGCAAAATACTTTAAAATGGGTATTTCTCAGTATTTACTATATGCTAAAGAAGATCTGTGGTCTTCTTCTACATAATGTATCAGGGTGTTAACCAAAACATTAGGGGTTCAGATCCATCAGCTGCTACTTGGGATAAAAATGGATCATCTCCTCCCAAAACAATTTACAAGCTCAGAATCCCAAAGGAGAGGCACTATGAGTCAGACCTAATACCATGGCAGTGAACTCAATTTTAAGGAGCCCTTAAAACAAAGTAGTTAAAAATGTTTGGCTTCTAACAAAACGTGAGAGGTTCAAACAAATCAGACCCTCTGAAAAAAGACTATTGCAGTCTACTAATGTAAGTATCACAGCCTTAGAAACCAGACAGGGTAATTCTACTTTGTCACACCGGATCACTATGAGTTGGAATAATTTCAGTGGCAACAGGTGTGTTTCCTGATGTTTCAAACACCATCTCAAGTGCTTCAATTAATTAATCTTCACAAAAAGATCTGATGCAAGATCTATTGTTGTGGCCATTTTACAGAAAAGTAAACTGTTACACTAGGTATAATGAGATCCAAATCTCTTAATGCCAATGAAACAAAACTGAACAAAGATTACTAATTTCCTGAAATACTAAAACCAAACAAGTTTTTAGTTTCATAGCTCTATCATGGGGGGGGGGAGCACCTCTGAAAATCAATTAGGCAATTATTTAAGAAAAATATCAATGACTAAGAGTAAGTTCAAACAAGAGTATATATAGATTAATTTCCAGCATGAAAGTAAGACAACAAACCCTCTCCTCTAAACAGCAACTAAAAAGCTAGATGAAATTGTCATTAAATCAGAGTGGGCAAGCAGTAGAAAGCAAGCAAGGAGATTTGCTGCTATTGCCAAAGGGAACAATACTTATTTGAAAGTTGTCGATCAAGCGACAATTTCAGGAACAAATGAAGAGTCTCAACAATTCTACTAGCCTAACGTCACCATCTTATCAGCCAGGAGTTAACATAGCTTTCAAGCAGACAAACATAGGTGGCTTGATAAATTCACCATCTAGGGAGTTTGAACGGTACAAACCACAGGGAGTCATGCTGCTAGTCCAAAGGCCACAAAACTCTGAAGGTCTGAATCTACCTCCAGCTCCACATGAGAAAGATGAGCAGTAACCTCCCATGTGATTTCCAACCTCAGAAACCTGATGGAGAGTCCACTATGAGTTGGTTCTAACCCAATGACAGTGAGTGATATCCCAGATATAGCAAAGAACAGAGGGGATCCAAGCCATTAACATACGCCCAGCCAATTAAGCCTTTGTGCAAATACAGAAAAGACCTGAAAGGGAATAATACAGAAAAGACATACTTTCAAAAGCCTCACTCCCCAGTCCACATACAGATCCTCCATCAAGGAGTAGGAGGCATTTAGCCAGGGTCTCTGTGCAATCCTTAGCGAAATATTAATCTATAAGGGAGCTCTGGTGGCCTAGTGGCAAGTTGCTCCACTGGAGAAAGAGGGGCAATCTCCTGCTGTGCCAGCTGAATCCAACTTGACAGTACACGAAAAAGAAAAAATTAATCTATATCTGTATACAGGTAATAAGTACAAAGCCAAGATTCAAGGTGGGCAAGCTGGGAGGGATATCTATCAGATGTACACACTGCACAAGAAGCAGATTTCATATATATAGTCAAGTAAGTTACTCAGACATCTAAAAATTAGGAAAATCATTCTTGAGGACAAAGCAGCAAAAAAGAAGGGTTTGTATAACATTTTATATAAAATTCTAATAAATGAAAAATTACAAATCTCTATGAATTAAATCATCAGACCACACTTCTATGATCCTATTTTTTTTTAATTATTTTTTTAAAGAGTGCTAAATCCATTCAAAAGGAGAAGAGGAGTTTAAGACATAACTGAGTTTATATTAATGGTGGTAAAAGAATTTTTAAAAAGATAACAACATGTCTCTACAACATGAAGAATATAATTAATGCTACTGAAGTTTACAAGTAAAATTTATGGACATTGATTGTTTTATTATTCGTTTTTTAATTTTTTTTTTAATGGGCGGGAAAGGAGTTTCTTTCAAGAGGCAGTACTGGGAAAAATACTACTCCATGCAAATGAATACACCTGGACCCATTTCTCTCACACAATATAAAACCACCTAACTGAAAATAAAATATCTCAAATTTAAGAACTAAACATAAGGCTTTTAGAATAAAACAGAAGTATAATAAAATCTTGTACTCTGACAAATTTAAAAATCTAGATGAAACAGACAAATGTATATGGTCACACTACTTACCAAAACTAATATAAACAGAGAGAGAAAATTCTAAGCAGACCTACAACAAAAGAAAAGATTGAGGACACCATCAAAGTAGTCCTAAGAAAACAAAAGTCCAGGACTACTACATGGCTTTACAAGAAAATTTTACCAAACAGGCAAAGTGTTGACATCATTCTATAGAAACTATTTGAAAACATATAAGTAATTATATTCCCTAACTAATTCTATGACGTAAGAGTTACTTTGATGTCAAAGGTAACAATCACAAAGAGAAAGAAATTATAGAATAATATCCTCTATAAATATAAATGCAAACAGAATTCAATAATGTATTGGGTGCGGGGGGACAAAAAAGATTCATACCAGGAATGCATGAGTGGTTCAAAATTAGAAAACCAGTCAATGTAATTCATCACTCAAATAAAAGAAAGAGAAATAACCATATGATCACTTCGAATGAAACAAAAAGGGGTTTCAAAAATCACTACCTTTTTTCTGGAAAAAAAAAATCCTTCAGCATATTTGAATAGAAACAAAATACTCCAATAAAATTTCGACCAGACTTTTATTATTATTACTACTACTATTATTATTATTATACTAGTTTATTTACAAAATTCTAATACACTGTTTTTCAGGCCAGATTTTTTTACTATTATACGTTTAATTTACAAAATTTGAGTAATTTTCCAGACCAAATATTTTTTAGGACATACATACGAAACCAACTGCTAACATTGTTGTCAATGGTGGAAAGCTGAGACCTTTCCCCTTAAAAATGGGAATGACTGTTATATGCCATGGAGGTGATCACGACTCAGAGTGACCCTAAAAACAGCAGACCTGAATCTGCCCTGTACTGCACCATTCTCACCAACACTGATACACTTGAACCCACTGCACCAGATACTGGATCAGTCCATCTCGTGGAGGGTCTTTCTCTCTTTTGCTAACCCTCCAAGCTTTCAAGCATGATGTTATTTTCAAAGGACTGGACTCTCCTAACAATGTCAAGTATGTGAGATGGGAATTTCATCCTTCTTCCCTCCCAGGAGAACCCTGCCTGAACCATCTTCAAGGTATGAGAATGAGATTAGGATGTTCAGTACCATGATTCTTATTCTAAATTGTACTAGCAGTCTTAACCAGTGAAAGACAGCAAGAAAAGGTCATTCAAATAGGGAAGAAGTATTAAAACTACTCCTATTTCTACTTACTTTAAAAAAATAATTCTGGAGGTTCTAGTTGTTGTTTTTCTGTGCCATCAAAACCTCTGTGAACCATAGCCATCCTATGTACAGCTGCTCTGAAGCCTGCCCTGTCCTGAGCCAGTCTCCTGATTCCAACATACCAACCTCAATTGCCCCAGTTACTGTTATCATTCTATCTCATCTGGGGTCTTCCTCTCCTGCGGCTGTCCTTCCATCCTTCCAAGCACGATGTCCCTTTCCAAGGTTAAGCCCATCCTGGGCACATGCCCAAGGAATGTGAGATGGAGCTTCAAAATCCTAGCCTCTAAGGAGAAACTAACTTGGATCCTCTCCAAGACAGACCTATTTATTTTCTTGGAAGTTAATGGTATGTTTAAAACTCTTCTCCAGCACCACAATTCAAAGGCATCTATTTTCTTCTGTCATCTTTAGTCATCATCTAGCTCTCTAATGCATATCAAGTAATCATGAAGAGCATGGCCTGGATTAGGCTCATCTTAAGTCTCTAGACTGATACCATTGCATTTCAGGAGAGGTCGCTGACAGCAGATTTTCCCAAGGCAATTCATCTTTAGATTTTATGACTGCTGGTGCCAAGAGTGTTGATTTTGGAGCCCAGCAAACTATAACTGTTAGCAACCTCAAACTCTTTTCCATCTATCATGGTGCTGCCAATAGACCCAGTAGTGAGAATCTTTGTCTTCTTAATGTTGAGCTTAAATCAATATTAAGACTACAGTCCTTGACCTTCTGCAGCAAGCACTTCAGGTTCTCCTCAGTTTCAGCAAGCAAGGTTGATGCCCGAGTCTTCCTCCAAACTTGATGCCCGACTCCTCCTAAAGCCCGGCTTCCAGAATGATATGTTCTGGATACAGATTAAAAAGGTATGAGATGCATCCCTGACACACTTCTTTCCTGATTCTGAACCATGCAGTGTTTCATTGCTCTGTTCTGAGGACTGCTTCCTGGTCCAAATATAGGTTTCACATAAGCACAATCAAGTGTTCTGGGATTCCTATTCTTGTTAAGGTTAGCCACAGTTTGTTGGGATCCACACAATCAAATGCCTTTGCACAGTCAATGAAACAAAGACAGACATTCTTTTGGATCT